GAGTCAGATGAAGTGCTCCAAATATTACCATCCCACTCCTCGGGGTCCCAGGAGGGTCTAGTTATCATTGCTCTCACCTGGGCCACTATAGCTGGGGCTTTACCATAGCGCACATGGCATTTGTTAGCCACTCGTAAAACCAATCGCTCTACCCTATGGGTTAATTCAGTTTGGGTTGTAATCAACTCCTGTGCTACTGCCTTCGCATCACACAAATCCCCAATCTCCTTCTCCAGATCTTTTACTCATTGCTGCAAAGATGATACCTCATTATCTAAGGCTCGAATGCCCGTCAGCAGTGCCCACCCTAATTGTCCAGCTAGCCTCCGAGCTGCTTCCGAAGCAGCACGGAAGGGCATAGCCTGTAAAACAGATTCAACCACCTTCGGGGTAACATTTTCCCCTTGTGTCAACTCAGGCCAGTCCTCAAGGACTGTTTCCCTTTAAGTTGGACTTTGCGCAAAGCCTTCTGTTCACCAGGGATAGCTGTACTTTTGTATACCCTTGAACTAACTCAAAATATATAGCCACTTCCCTGTTTTCTTGTGACCCCAGTACGTGTGAGATACAGCGTGTCCCCGGGTCAAGTGAGTAGTTTCTTGGTCTACTGAACCTAAATGGCAGGGAATTGCATTACTAGATTCATGATTAATGTGATATGACTGTTAAAGCATTTTTGAGCATTGGTCTATTAATTTGTATTACCTTACTTGTGGGGGTCTTTGTCTTTTCCATCATGAGTATACAAATAGGTTACTTTTCAGATGAAACCTGGTGGGCCAGCTTTGTGGGGTAAAGCATTTTGAGCTGCAATCAATGCTCATATCAACAGAAGCTACACTAAGATAATTGGTGTTTTCCACACAGAGTGTGGCTTACTTATACAGGTACAAGCACTAATCAATTTCTAATACAGACATTAGCACAGAGGGGAAAACCTTTGTCCTGGCTCAGGATTAGCTGGATTGGTAAAAAAAATGTTGGTTTGCATCCCTGGAGCCCTGTAAATAGGCCTTGAAATCAGCTTTGTGTGTTGGGTTACAGGTTTAAACGTGGTGGTGGTGTTTTAAAAGATTCTTAAGTATGATGTTAAAGAGTTAAAGCTTTTAAAAGTTCAGTAAAGGATTCTCTTATACTTGCCTGATGAACTGTTGTTGACTTCTAACACTTGGAGGAAGACTTAGGAATTTAACAACAACAATAGTCAGTTTATGCCTTCATTTAGCTATTTTAATACTTGTTTAATGTGCTGAAATTGATTAGGCCTTTTTGTTCAGTTATGTAGGCTATTAACTGATATACACATGCTTATAGTTTTGGAAATATATATATTTTTGCCAACTTATAAACTTTAAAAGTCAAATAAATTTCTATAAAGCATAGATTTTTTTTTTAAAGTGTTTTGTCAAAGGTTCTTCCTGGTCTTTAAACTGTGAAATGATAAAACCCATTCTCCAAGTGTGCCATCCTGAAGGCTTTGCATTTTGGTCAGCAACAGTCTTGATAAGTGCTCCTTTAGAGCCAATAACCTGCCCCTTGATTTGTTGGAGTGAGCAGCAGGGCAGAAGGCATGGACCACGAGCACATGGGCTTAGAATGTCAGTGATTGGCTGCATTTAGGCAGTGGTAATTATGCTAGTTTATACCAAAGTAGAGTTTTTCAGTGCTCGCAGACAGGGCACTCAGGAGGCCTTTTCTTAGTTTAGTCACTGACCAGCAATTAGCAAGTAATTTCACTTCTCTGCTTAAGCATCTTTATACAATTGGTCTAATGTTGTTTACCTTTATAGAGATGTGATTTGAGAAATCATGGAAAGCACTAGGAAAAAAACAAACAAACAAATTCTGGTTATGTACAAGCAAGGTGGATGGGCGCCAAATACTATAATAATGTCATGTAATAGGTCATAGTTTTTAAACTTAAGTCTTCATTCTGTCCTCTACACCACAGAGGAATCCATAGCATTTTCAGGATGGAATGAGGACTACTTCAAAGGCCCACTTTTCGATAGCTACCAAATAAATAAATAAATAAATAAATCAGTTTTTCTTGAAAGGTATAACTCAAGACTGTTAGCTGATAAATTGCTACTAGCAGACTGAATCAGAATGTGACCTTATAGAAATTAACCTAAAGGATATGTTTAACAAATATGGATTAAAATAGCACAGGATACTAATGAGACTTGCTTTTTTTTTTGTGTGCACTAATGCAACAGTAAAATTTTATCAAAAGATTTTACTGAAATGACTAAATACAGACATTTATTAAAAACATTTCTTTTTTTTTTACTCTATTTTCCTTGTGACTAGCATTCAAGATGAAGAATACTCAGGGTATTATTTGCATTTACAATTAAATTTAGATTTTTTTTTTTAAGCACAAGGAGTTGATAAATGAAACAAATCATGAGCTGGACACTAGATTGAAGCTCAAAAATCAGGAGCTTTAAAAATTAGCTTCTCCTTATCGTAAGATTAATTTTGCTGAAGAGTGAAATTTTAAAATTTGGTTGCTCTAAGTGGAACTATAGGCAGGGGAGGTCAAAATTTTACAACCAGTTTTACTTTCAGCAATCAGACCATTGTTTTACTTTCATTTGTAACTTATTATTCAAAGGCAGTATAGTAACAAATTAAGGGCTCTTCCTTTAACTTGATATTACCTAAGGCTTAGTCTATTTAAAAGTGGGTCAGCATCTATTTACTAATACATTTTGCTCTGTCAGTGAAAACAGGACTACAGTGTTTCTAGCAAACACTGGTGCCCAGCAACAGGACAAGAGGCAATGGGCAGAAACTGAACCACAGGAAGTTCCATCTGAACCTGAGAAAAAACTTCTTCACTGTGAGGGTGACTGAGCATTGGAACAGGTTGCCCAGAGAGGTAGTGGAGTCTCCTTCCCTGGAGATATTCAAAAGCCGTCTGGATGTGATCCTGGGCAATATGCTCTAGGTGACCCTGCTTGAACAGGGAGGTTGGACTAGATGATCTCCAGAGGTCCCATCCAACCTAAACGATTCTGTGATTCTGTGATTCAAACAAGAGGAACAATTATAGATGTAGTTGCAGATTGCTGCTGTGCCTTTGAGATGGAAATATTCAAAGGTAGGTACAGAACTTTGGATTTAAACATCCAAGTTCTTGATGGACCTAGAATTGATAATTATACCAATTAGTTATTTTTTCAGTGTTTCTTAGAGGCTTTTTTATTTAGTAACTGTAGAAGCTAAGAGTGTCAAGCTTTCATTTTCAAATCTTGCATAATCTCAATTATCTGAAAATAGTATGGAGCAAATGCATAAGTGACAGTTCATAGACTGATGGTGCCATTACAGCTTTATTTTTGACTTAACACAAGGCAATTAAGGTGCCTTTTAATACTTCACATAAACAGCTATTAGCAAATACAAATATATATATATTGCTTTTAATGAAAATGTCCATTTAAGGATTTAACTTAGAAATTTCAGTTGCAAAAATCTCTCTAGAGTGCAAAAATAGATCTCATTAAAGATGGCATAAAGTGCTTGGAATTAAAGACCAACTATAATTCAAGTGGAAAGGATAAGCACAAAGGGATACTTTAACCATTGGGGGGGGATTACACGTACAGTCCTTACTGAAATACAAATGTGCTACAAAGGGGGATGCAATGTTTCAATAATAACAATGTTTAAAATAAGTAAACACCTCAGTGCAGTCTCATTATCAGAGTGATTCATAATCATACTGGTCTGTGATTCCAGGGGTGACTTTGCCTGGCACACATATGAGGGTAGAGGAAAGGTAGTTTGCAGTTATTTTGGTGACTGAGCAGCATGTGAGAGCTGTATTGTGCTGCCTCTATTCAGTATGGATAAAAACAGAGTCATTACCAGGGACCAAGGAGCTGTGGAATAGTTCTATTAATTACCCTCCATGTTTAGTGTAACATTTTGTTACAGATGCCAGACTCTGTATGAGGTGGTGACAGTCACAGGAGCAACAGGAATTAAGAATCTCTTTTTGGCAGGCTAAGGAAAAAGGATTATGATGCAACTGTTGTTTCCTGCTATGAGTCATTCACATGAGCAGTTACAAAGAGCAAACCACAGACCTTTAGGACCAAAATCTATGTTCTTCTAGAACTTGCTCTAGTTCTAGATGCACTAGTTCTATGCATTGCAAAACTTGATCCCTTCATTTCAATCTATGCAGAGATTTGTGATAATTATTTTCAGTAGTGATAAGTCTTCAATATATACTATTGTTTCCTTGATAGCATAATCCTTACCTGCAGCCTGTTATGAGAGGTCATGACTGTAGGATTAGCCCGACTGTTTAATAATGGCTCTGTACCTGAAAGTCTGGTGCATTTGTGACTCTATAGTCATCATGCTGAACACATCAGTGTTACCATGTATGCTTTGAAATATATAATTACCCTTTTTCAGGTGGGCCAATAGATAACTCATTTCAGCACCTTCACTGTTTGCAAGGCTGCTGGGCATTCACAGAAGAAAATTGTCAGTGAGTTATATTCATAGAGGAGTAGTGATAAAAATGAGTGCAGCATTTCTACAGGTATTTAAGGCAAAGGTATTACATATAGGAATAGCCTAAGAATTTCTCTTGGGTTCAATCCCCATCACTGAACCTATTCCTGACTGTAGAAGCAAGATGGAGGGTCCGTAAGCATAGTAATGCAAGCATACTCCCCTGTGGCTGCTGTACAAGATAAACAAGAATTGGTCATTCTCACTACACAATCTCCTCTCCAGCATTCTTCTGGCTCCATAAAACTTGAAAAAGTTACTGAGTCATGTAATTGTAGCACTCCTGCTTTGACCTACCTTGTTCATCAAGGGAAATTTTACTGAAGTGGTTTTCTCATGTATAGTCTCCAGGTGGGGAATCACCTAGTG